GGGGTCGAGTGGAAGCCACAGTGCATGAGGCTGCAAAGGGGGCTGGACTGCCTCTTCCTCTACCTCCCCTGGGTCAGGGGTCCCAGAGGAGAGGCTCAGGCTGATGGGCAGCTGAGCTGTGACCCCAATTTCCTCCAATACCCTAGCCCCACAGGCTGTAGTCTGAGATCCTGCTCCTTGGCTGATGGGGGGACTCTGAGTGGGGATCCCCTCCCAACGGAAGTCACTGAGCCCCCTGCCCCATCTGCTTCCTATTCTTTCTCTTTGGTTCCACTCCCACTAATACAGAGCATTTCCCCTCTTCCTCCTTGCCCAAAGCTTTGGGATTCACGATTTGCAACGTTTCATGCACATTTATTTAAAATGCATGCATTTATTTAGCAAGTACTTCTTGAGCTCCTCCGTGGAGCCAGGCCCTGGGCCAAGGATGAAAAGTTAGGAAGCCTCAGCCCTGCCCTCAAGGAGCCCAGCGTCCAGCAGACTGGCAGACAGGTCCTGCTACAACCAAACACCGGGGTGCCAAGTTCAAACGGAAAATGCAGACCCCAGGTACAGAGAAAGCCTCTCAGCCCAGGTGGGGGTGAAGCATTTCTCCAAAGGGCTGGCCTTTGAGGTGAGTTTCCCTGTGGGGGCAGAGGCGATGAGGGGGGCACAGCCCAGGCAAAGGAACTGACCACACAGCGACATAGAAGCAAATGCAGCTTGGGACATGCAACGATTTGGTCTGGCTCGGCTCAGGGCCGCAGCCTTTGTAGCAGGACAGTGAGCACTTTACACCCACACTCCTACGCTCATGCCCAGGGCAGCACAGGTCAAAGAAATCAGAGAGCTCTGACCAGGCCTGTGACAATTGTTCTACAGGGGAAAAGGGACTTCAAAATGTCCTTTGGTGTCAGTTTTATATTAGATGGTAGTGTTGAAGGCTGCTGCAGAGGGTGGCAATGGCTGAGAAAGACGAGGAGGAATAATAGGGGGGTATGATGGAAATGAACTTGGCGGCAGTAGGTGGCAATGTGGATGCTGATGAGAATAGTGGTGGTGGTGGTCATAGTGGTGGTGGTCATGGTGGTGATGGTGGTGGTGGCCATGGTGGTGATGGTGGTGGTGG